TATGCAAGGGCAAATTGTCAAAACCCCCCTAACAAAGAAGTGGAACGGGCACGATTCAGCACCCCTGCAAGGCTGAATTATTGTTTAAACCTTACAAGGGCTTAAGGTACCAGACGCAGATGACCTTTCCGTTTTTGTCAAAACTACCCGAAAGGGAATATTAGCCGTTATCTCCAAGCTCCCATTGGTCAATCGTCAGCCCCGTCGAGGGCGTCGGATTCCGTTTCTGAGACGGGTACTCTTGGCTGGTCCCTTTCTGAGACGGGTACCTGGCTGCTCCAACTTTAATTAGACTTCGCTCCATCCTACATGGTGAAACGCCAAATGTCGTAGCCGCAAATCACCACACGCATAGGCTTGGCAGTCTTCTATCATGAGTAGTCGCCGCCTGCATCACTAGTCAGTGTAGTAAATAACGTAAAAAATACGTTGGCAATATGGGCCCCCTCGCAATATTATTGTATTGTCGATTGGTGCATATTGTATTACGCAATATGGCATTGGTGCATATTATGTTGTATGCCAAGAACCCAAAATGTCGGCAATAAAATACTTCGAACACCCGTTAAGTTGCCAAGGCAAGGGACTTAACGGCTGAATATCCAGCCCGAAGGGTAAAGATCGTGTCCCCACGACTGAACTTCCTGGGAGAGAATACGGCTTCAATGCATGGGGATAACTAAACGACAGTCGTCGTTCTATCTACTTCTGTTTAGATTGGCTGAATCAGAGGTCTGTACACTGCTTCCTGATACGCCTGGTCTAACTTCATACTATATACACAGTGAGGTTCAGTAATGTCTTACAGGAAGGCGTCGTCTAGTCAAGGTAGACTGGTGGATACGGCGGGCTGGTTAGCTGTTGAGCCTGACGGCCTTGTTGGTCAACGAGGCGCATCTTCATCCCTGCCATATAGTTAGCCGTAAAAGCATCACATGAAAAGACAGCTTCCGTGGGCGTCTGGTTATAGAGGCTCTGACGGTCGCAACTGAAAAACACGGACGGGC